TTCATTTTGTGTATGGCTTTGTAAATGGAAACGCAGCAGAAGCAGCCAGAGAATACGCACGAAGATTTCCAAACAGACGACATCCAACTCGCTCAGTATTTGTAAGAGTGCATTGCCAAATAATTGAAAATGGTTTTGGAAATCTCCAAAGGGATCAAAACATAAATGTTCGTCAGCGCAGATTTACCCGTATGATTCTGCGTGAGTCGATAGAGATCCGACCACAAGTGTTAGGAGAGTTTCTGGTGCCTTGGGAATTTCTGCAATCCATGTTCGCCGTGTTCTTAGAAATGACTACAGCCAGGGGACGGAGAATAAAGAATCACATTATGTCAGTGGATTCTTGATAGAACTGATAATACTAGTGAGTTTTTAAGTAACGTTTTATGGACCGATGAGTCATGCTTCACTAGACGTGGAGTGGTAAATTTTCATAATCAACATATATGGTCGCATGATAATCCGCATGCAGTTCGGGAAAGAAATTTTCAGCATGAATTTAGTGTGAACGTGTGGATTGGTTTCTACCGTAATCGACTATTTGGACCCTACCTTTTGCCTGCAAGGTTAAACGCTGCGACCTTCTTGGAATTTTTAAAGGCTCAACATGCAAATATGTGGGATGATGTTATGTTACATTTAAGAAGATTAGGCCTGGTTCCAGCTTGATGGTTGTCCAGCTCATTATTCGAGAATAGCTAGAAACTGGCTGGACGAAAATTATCCAGAAAGATGGATCGGGCGTGGAGGACCAGTCACCTGACCTCCACGATCCCCTGACCTAAATCCATTAGATTTCTTTGCGTGGGGATTTCTAAAAGAAAAAGTGTACCAGACTCCCGTAACCACAAGAGATATGCTAATAGACAGAATCAGGAATGCATGTAATGAAATAAGGCCTTATTTGAATAATGCTATACCACGTTCGATCAGTCGTAGATGTGAATTGTGTATTGAACAATTGGGTTTACATTTCGAGCAACTACTTTAGATTTTCTATGTTTGTCCTAACTACCCAATACCATTTTAGTTGTAAATAATTAATTTAATTTGTTAAAAATAATATTGGAAAATCAAACAAATTAATATTCTGTTATTTGTGTTTATTTGGAGTTAGAAATTATTGCTGTGTTTAAAAACACAATCTAAACGATCATCTTAATTACTTGTAATGCCCAAATCGAAAATGTAAAAAAATATTATTTTCCCATAAATAATTAAAAATGCATCGAACCTTAAAAATCGAAATATCTCAAAAACGGCTAACTATAACGAAAATTCACAAGAGAGCTTTTTTATGTTGAAAAGTGCGAGGAATCAGTTTTTTTATTGAAAAAGCAAAAAATGCACTAAGAAAATTTTTTTTGTCATTTTAATACACTACAGGTACAGTAGAGAGCGCTCTCTAGCGGCTACAGTAAAACTATGCCCATGGTTCGTTTTGTCGTACCAAAAAACCCTTGTATACCAATTTTCACTGTTATACATCTCATATTGTTCGATATATTTGAAAAAAACTATTTTAGAAAGTGAATAGCCACGCATTTTTCGACCCATGTTTATATAGACTTTATCCATTAATTTTAGAAGTTCTATCGAATCTTAAAGTTATGCAACAATAAACTGAAACACCCTGTAGATTTATCATAGTCCCATATAAAATGTACCTTTCCCTGGACATCGGATTCTCTAAATTGAGTTCCACCATCGGGATGCCTGCAAGGGTGAAGGACTCGAGGTCGAGTAAATTGGAGCAAAGGATATTTATAATCACGAAAAGAGAAATTAGAAGGTATAATTATACACTTCAGATGGAAAATACCGAGAAACAAGGGCGCCTTTGTTTTATTTTCTCTTTGTCCAATTGGAGAGAAAGTTGTTGGGGATGACATCCTTTCTGAAGTTGATTGGAATATATTGAACCTACTTGACCCGGTTTAGAGTGTCGATTTTCCATTTACAATTTTTGCCGATATCTCGACACATTGCCGAACTAAATGGACTTCAGATGCGATATCAGCGACCCATGAGCATGGGCGAGCTTGAACTAAAAAATGAAATTCTCCGAATACAGTACAAATAACTACTACTGTACGTAAATCGGATATAAGATCAACCTGAACGTACATACCTAGTTTGTCATGTTAGAAATTGATCCAGCTTTTCACTTTTTGTGAAAAAAACTTATATACAAAGGTCGTCAAGTGAAATACAGTCCTGAACTGAATATGTTTCCGTCCCGCCTCTCTAGCCAAGACTAACCGTAGACAGCGCTGTTTCGTGCTCTTTAGCAACTCATCATTACGGTATACAACTAGAAATATAGGAGGCCTGTTTTTTCGTATGTTTTCGTGGTACAACTTCAATTAACTACCGCCATTTTGAATTAAATATGAGGGATGCTACAAAATGGCGATTTATGGTTTCCATAGTGACCTCTACAATATGGGCATGAATTGCAAGTGCTTGATGAGAGAAACTCAATAAGCAAGGTGACGTTATTCTAAGTCCATTATGGTGGCCATCCCAAGAGGGAGTTTATAACTTTCACAGTTACCATTATGATATAAGTATTGTATTAAAGGGTTTGATGAGAGAAGCATAACAGGCTTTGTGACGTGATTCTAAATCAACTACGGTGACTGCCGCAAAATGGTGATTAATAATTTCCATAGTGGTTAGTACTTTGGTATTGGAGACAAATAAATATTGCTATATTACTGAGCTACTTCATCTGAAATCGCCGCGCGTTACGCTTTAACAGCAAGATGGAAAAGGGGTGAACACGGTTCTATTTGGGAGCCTGAAATTAACGTCGCATGTCCCTTTCCTTCTCATCCTGTCTAGAGAAGTATCCTTAATGCCTTCCGCCTGATTGTTTCATGCTATGTATAGACATGATAGAAAAACAATGGTATCAGTCTCTCTTTGTGCATTTTTTCTTCAATCCTAGCCTGTTAACAAATAATAGTACAGCTTCAATATTGTATGTGAATAGTTCACTTTTATGGAAAAATTTTCTCTCTTCAAAAAATAGTTTATTCTTGAAAAATGAGGTTTCAAGTAGATCAAAGTTTCTTCGAAGTGAAAAAGTGATAAGAATAAAAGTAAACAGCTGCTCAATTCTACCGTTAAACTGGAATTTTGAAATACAATTTCAGAGCTGTACAAATATTTGTTAACCAGTTGCGATTGAAGAAAAAGTGCACAAAAAAATGCACGAAGAATGCATTCTTTGACAAGTACATCGCTGTTTTAGAATACTTAAGGAACTTTACAACTTTATCGTTTAAACACCTGTAATCGGAAAAAACATGTTTAAATCTTTCGCTTGTTTGTACAAATGTACTTTCTTCATTTATTTATCTAGCGATCCTTTGGAGGTGACGAATTCTCCCTCGTAAATCCGCCACTGTAATATGGTGGGTCAGTAATCAGATTGATTCTGAGAAAATTCGTCCAGACTTCGTGACCTGAAAGCGGGTTCAGTGGCCCGGCGCCTGGGCTATCAGTTTAAAGATTCAAACTGTCCTGGAAAATGTACCGTGTAAAGCTTCAGGTCACGAGTCGCAGACATGCGAACAGGAACAGGAAGTCACTTGCACTGAGACAAATGGATACGGTGTCTTGCATGACTGTCTAGATCGGTGCAGTTGGAAAAATGGCGTCCTGTCACAGTCCGTTCGCTTTTAGAGCTTTTATTTCTGAGAGTGGCAATTCGGTTTCACTTATAAGACATGTTAGTCTAGACCAGAGTTCCCCAAACTTTTTTGTGTCGTAGACCCCTTGCCATGTTTTCCCGCGTTGGATAGACCCCTACTTACCTGATATTGATTTTCTGCAAATTTCAAACTGTAGTGAAGTTTAGTGTTAGAAACTTAAAGTAAAAACACATATTAATTTATACATATATTAATTGAATTTAAATTAAAACTACTCAAAATAAAATTTTGTATCTGTTATGTAAAATATACGTAACATTAAATAAACCAATAAGTGCCCGCATTGGGAATAAGTGCCCGCATTGAAAAAAAAATAAGAGGGATAAAATAAAAAAAAGTGAAAAATAATTAAAAAAAAGTTTTTTACTTAAAATAATACAATAAGCGAGTTCGTTTATTAATGATAACATAAACGTATGTTCTACAATAATTTCACTGTTAGTTTGATTAAATTACGCTACTTATACGTTTAAGTTATCTAAAAATAGGCAAAAAATTAACGAATTTTAGTGTGTACATATGAATAATTTAAAAAAAAATATTTTCTATAAAGGGGGGTTTTTAAAAAAATCAATGCGGGCACTTATTCCCAATGCGGGCATTTATTGGTCAGATACCAATAAACATAAAATAAACTATAAATAAAATAACATAAGCAATAAGTCAATATTTTTAGTGAGAAGGATGAACCTGTTGTTTTAATAAATAATCAACATTTGGCGTCAATTTTGTAAGGGTTAATCTTAAATCTCCTCGGCTAATGATGTCCAGTCTGTTTCTTTTTTTCGTTAGGAGATTGGTAACAGCGCTGAACCCCCTTTCCACTAGGTATGACGATGGAAAGGAAATCAAAAATTTCCTCGCTATATTCCATAATACGGGATAAGTAAAGGGGTATGTTGTTTTGCAGCCAGAATTGCTGATATCCGTTTTTAAACTGAACCTTAAGTTCTTCGTTTGTACTTAGTTCAGTCAGTTCCTCTTGTATTATGACATTCGTTTCTTCTATGTCACCATATGGATTAATTATCCACGGTGGTATTACCATAGTCAAAATATCCTCAAACCTAGATTCAAAATCTGAATAGAGAATTTAAATGTTGAACGTAAGTTGAAACGTCGTCTTCCTGGCAGCTTGTCTGTGACGAATTGGCGAACTGAGAAAATTCGCTCCGTCCAATATTTTGCTGTCGCCTTGTAATTGCAAATTAACCATATTAAATTTTGTAAACAAATCTGTTAAATAGGCGATGTCTGTTTTCCTCTTCATTAAATTTTCTATAAAATTTTATCTTTGGTATCCAGAAATTCTAAAATAGTCTCAAAAAGTGCAAAAAATCTTGTCAAACCTAAGCCTTTCGACAGCCAGTGTACTTCAGTGTGAAGGAGTAATTGATGAAGGTGTTCGTCATTTTCTTCACACAACTGCGCAAATAACCGCGTATTCAACGCGTTACTTCGGATTCGGTTTACTGCATCAATGACTCAATGAAGTGATTCATGCAATCTAACACTCAAGTTATTAGCAACTAAATGTTGTCGATGGATGACGCAATGTATTGCTAACACCCCTGACACATCTTGTTTTAAATAGCTTATAAATCCACGATAACGTCCAACCATGGCAGGTGCTCCATCTGTAGCTACTGATATTATATTCGATAAAGGAATTGCTTTTTCAATGAAGTAATCCTTCAAAACATGAAATATTGATTCACCTTTAGTGTCGGTTATCAAAGTTCTTGCGAAGAGCAGTTCTTCGTAGATTTCTTGATTCATAATAAAACGAACATATGCCAATAATAATGCTGCATTATCAGGTAAAGTTGACTCGTCCAGTTGTATAGAGAAATGGGTCGTTTGCAAATAATTACATAAGAAGCTTTCAATATCAGAACTCATTTCATCAATACGTCTTTCAACAGTATTGTTGCTTAAGGGAATTCTTTTCATATCAGATGCAGGTTTGTGTAAAACAGTTTTTAAAACCTCTTCAACGGCTGGCAAAATTAACTTCTCTCCGATAGTATGCGGTTTTCCGGATTTTGCTATAAGTAACGAGATATTGTAAGATGCCCGCAAACCATCATCATTTCTTTGTGACGTCGAAGCGAACATTCTGTCCAGTGTAGGTCTCTTCTGAAATTTATCTTTGAGTGTTTGAAAGTATTTCAAATCTTTCTCTGTTTTATCAGGGTGGCATCTTCTCAGATGATCTTGCAGTTTAGCTGGTTTCATAGCGTCATTGCCCAAAACTTTGTTGCATAAAAGGCACATAGGCGATTGTTTGTCCGGCAATGATGGAATGAAGCCAAATTTCAAATAGTCAACACTGTACTGTCTACATTTCTTTTTAGATTCGGACATGGCATCAGTCATCTGTGGGCAAAATTAAATTATTTAAATAAGACAGAAAATCCAGCAGCTGTATATTAAAAATATTTTTTGATTTCTCCGAAAACATTCCATAATTCGACCATCTTCTTGCAACAATTAGCTCGAATTACGGAGATTGCACTGTAATTATATTACCGATTGCTAAAACTTTCAAAAAGAAACTATTGAGGAGTACTCGTATAATTTTGCATGATTGAATATTTAACTACTAATAACTAAAGTCATGATTGGCATAAGTTATCTATCTTTGCTAACTACGAGTACAAAACTAAAATTTAATAAAAAATAATGTACTTACTTTTCTCCAGCACTCTCAAACAAAATAACACTGACTCACTATAATTTGTGTGATATACTATCTCTTTATATTTTTTAAAATATTTTCTTAGCACTTTCCTTTTCAAGATTCAGGAAACGAATAAACGTATTTGTCCCATATTCGTATTTATACAGTGACGAATTGAACAAGTCAGTGCAAGGTAGCGAAGCTCCGAGACTGCGACTCTCAGGTTTTTACAAGTTCAAAATGTATTGCGACCGCAAAGCGAATACCAACATCCTAGAACTTACACAATTTTATAAACATATATAATAATTTTTTTACTTCATAGGTACTTTTATAAATAATGTATATGTTTTGATATTATAAGATAGTATGATGTAAGTAAGTAGGTACTATCAGTGTATGTGTTGAGATCCACTATCGTGGACTCCCATATTCATTTCATGGACCCCCAAATTTTTTTTCGCTGACGTATACCCCTTGCAGGTTGTCATAGACCCCTAGGGGTCGATATAGACCACTTTGGGAATCACTGGTCTAGACACATGCAATAGTAATCCTAAATATATTTCATCCTATTTCTACTTCCTATGCCAAAATCGCGAAAAACATAGGTATTGAAATATGTCGTTTCGGTGTTGTATCGCAGAAAACCATGTCACTCAAGTCCGTTGATCTGTCTGTGTGTCTGTCTTTAGTCTGTCGTATTAGTCGAAGTCGTTCTATCATTGAAAAGCTTATGATCCTGGTAACAATGAGAAAACTAAATGATAAAAGTGTTATGTATAATGTGCTTACAATTCTAAAAAAGCTTTGCAATTGTTGGCGTTGCGTGCAGGAGAAACATTTATATATTTTAGCAATATTTGGAGTACTTACCAGTTAGTGTTCTGCGATGCTTTTGCGAATGATGTCAGTAGATGTCTTATGGGGATTCGGTCTCAAAACTTCCAAAATCCGCCACCAGAGGCGCTGGCGTCGCGCGCCATTGACAGGTTGTTGGACGGAATCTGTATTCATGAGTTGGGGATTCCGCCGCTAGATGGCGCTGTCAAACCAAACGGAATCTGTGTGTCATTGGACACCTGTCATGCGTCATTGGGCATCTCACGCATAGATGGCGTTAAAACGTCATCTGTCATACGTCATTGGACACCTGTCATTGATGGGTTGGGCATCTCGCGCATAGATGGCGCCGATTTGTTTGGCGCTGTACAAACCTAACGGAATCTATGCGTCATTGGACAGCTGCCATTGATGGGTTGGGCATCTCGCGCATAGATGGCGCCGATGTCGCACCTGTCTGGTGTTGGCGTGGATTACGGGGGGCAACGTGTATACAGGGGTGCATCGAAAAATAGCGGATCGATGGACCGACGGTATATCGTTAAATCGTATATAGCAAGGCGTGACCTAAATAGCGTGGTGGGCTCCTCTGGTCGGTCGGTCGGTCGGTCAGAATGTCTCATAACCTGTATACGATGTACTGTTATTATTATACAGGATGATACCGTTCAAAATGAAAATAGTATAATGGATATTTTATTGAAACATATAGTATATATAACAATAAGGTTGATTGGTGTGTGTGTGTGTGCCATGTTTTGAATACCCGCGCTTGAACAACTTGCAACAAGAAATTCCGACAATATTATTTCGCAAACCAGAGGTATTTTCAATAAAACTACATATCAGGGAGTACTTTAGATGTTGATACTAATCGACTCAAATCATTGTTCGACAACTGATTTGGTTCATGACAGACAAGAATCAAATTATGTATTTCACGGTTCAGTTCTGGTTGTTTTTTAATTTTTTCCCTAAACTTCAGGTAACCCAGGAAATATGTCTCTTATCCGTCCTCTGTTCAACACATCAGTAAAATCGTTAGAAAATTCTATATATGACATATTATTATAAAAGGTATAGGACCGTCCTGCGTTTGATTGAAAAATAGCATTGATTCGAGCCCTATCGGGTATATCAATTGAAAAATTATCAAGAAATTTAATGGTAGGGAATGATGCTGAGAAATAGTTGTTTGGAGACACAATGGTAATCAAGTCACCGTTTGTTGATTGGAAAATATGTTGTAAAGTGTATTGACGTAATTCTGTAGGAACATAATCGACAAGAAGTTCAGGCTGAGATGGGATAATCATTTCGTTTAAGTCTAGTTTCCATATAAACATATCATGTGCAATATATAATCGGTAATTTGAAAACTCTGGAGCAATAGCTAAAAACATAAAATCTGGAATAATATCACACAAATTTTTGAGGATCGGCTGCTTACGAGTTGTAGATCTTATAGTTGTTGTTGTTTTTGGTATTGCTGATGCGGTGGTAGACGTTGGGATTGAATCATATTTGTTTTTTCTTCCATATAGATATTGTACTGCATTTATATCATCAACATCTAGACCACGAATCTCATGCTGATAGAAGGCAAACATAATAGCATTCGGAGAAGCACTATGTGCTATGCCGAGAGCATGTCCAATTTCATGAACCAACACCTGATAGAGAATGATGTCAAAAATCTCAGATAGCAAATATAAATTCGTTTACCCCCCAATCAAAATCTTGACTGAAAAAAAATTAGGCAGCAAATATACAATAATCATACACGAATTTACTATATTTCTAAATTTCTACTCTCATGTGCAACTTGTAATTGGAATTTCCGCCGGACAAACGATACATTCATGTATTACTAAGAAATTATATAAAAAATACTGCAACCGCAATGAATGTTGTTTTCTCGATAAAAATGGTACTGAGAATATGATGCATATAATATGCATATTTACGATACAATTATCTCATGCACGCGTGTGTTATCTCAACCACGTATTTATATTTAGCGAGCGCATGCAATAGTCATCATTGTTTCACACTTAACGCACAACGCTGCAAGCTGGAACAACGGCCGCAGTACAATAGTGCTTCGAGAGAGACGAGATAGCGAAAATTTTAAAAAAAGTAAGTGCTATTTTATTTAATATTTTTCTTTTTTATGTCTCTAAGTGCAACTGTTTTTTCGTGTTATGCTTCAAAATAGTTAGACGACTCAATTTTTTTTATAGATGGATTTATCAAAAATTAATGCTGCGTCTTCGATTGTAGACCGCAAACCTATCAGAAAATTAAAGGACCTACCAGTCGGGACACCATTTGCAATCCAAGCAGCTAAAGTGGTCAAGTCGAAATTTGGGGAAGCCGTGCTACTAGATTTAGGACCGGAAGTGCTATTTCTACCACAGCGGGTGACGGAAACGTACCAGCCGGTCATCGACGAACTTTTTCACGGAAAATACTCGATCATCTTCCAAGGGGAAGTGGACGTAGGGAAAAGCCGACCGCTAGCATCATTCAAAATAGTGGAAAATTAACAAAGCAGAGAACAGGAGGAGGAGGACAGGGTGAGCATTTTTATATATTTTTGAGTAATGTGTTTGCTTGAAAAAAAAAATGTCGTCTTTTCAAATGTCTTCAAATAAGGTTAAAAAGATCATCAAACAAACAGACGGTGTTCTACTATCAATTGTTAGTCTACGGAAAATTTTATTTGATAATTTTACAATCAGAGACGCGGAAGTGTGGCTGAAACGAATAGAAAAACAAATTAGATTATGTAAACGGGTAATTCGTAGTAGAAGGCAAAATAAATTATCTGTAGGGACCTGTAGAAAAGTAGAAACAAATTTGGGGCATTTTAAACATTTTAGAAAGTTGATTTTAACTAGACATATTGGGGCAGGACTTCACTTAACATTGGGTCAGAGGGTTAGATGGGAAAATGTAGAATCGAGCTTTCAAAGTAGAATAAAAACCGGTTCCATAGCTAATTTGCGTCATAAGGACTTGAATCAATTTTTAGCAGATTGTGTAGTTGTTTTTAAAAGGAAAATTAGGAATATTTTGAACACCCATTGTGCGCTCAAAGTAAATACAACATTTTGCGGGGAGTTTATTAGGAAATCGGGGGATAATGAAATTTTGGGAATTAAATATATTAATACTAAAAATCATATTATTGATACATCAACTCAAATAGACGAGTGGTTTAAGATATATGTGAAAGATAAACTTTTAAACGAATTATCGGAATTTGCTGAAAAAGATTCGGGATTTGCGTTAAATAAAATTATTTCCTTAGTTGTTAATATCAGTAAATATCAATTGGGAAACGGTTCATCTTATATTAGACTACCAGAACCGATTATAAGGAAAAATGCTTGTATAAACATTAAAAATATAGATCAAAATTGCTTTTACTGGGCCATTGTAAGCGCTCTTCGGACTCCTAGCAAAAAAAGACATGCAGAACTAACCTCCTCATATCCACACTTTACTGACGTTTTACAAACAGAAAATTTAGATAGTCCTATGCTGCTAACAAAAATTTCAAAATTTGAAAAGATGAATAACATTTCAGTCAATGTTTACGCTTTAGAATTGATCGAAACAGAAAAAAAATCATTTTACATAGTAGTACCAGCAAGATTAACGGAAAATAAACGGGATACGCATGTTAATTTACTTTTAGCTCAAA